TGTTTAGTGAATAATCTCCACAGAGGTTTATTCGCTACATATTTATTTATATTTGCAAGTTCCAGACTAAAATAATCAAACTGGAAAAGTTCTCCAACAGTGCTATTGTGTCACCTCTATTATTTTGGCCTAAATGTGCAAGTCTGTTGTCTATTCTCTGCAATGGCAAGTTTAGAAAACAATCCCCAAAATTGTATATTTACTAAATATTGACAAGAAGTGGTCTGTGAGCTAATGAGCCAATACAATTCGAAATGTTACAGCTCTGCTATATTTACCGTACCTTAATGTTGTAAGTTAGTAAATCAAACAAATTGCAGTTTAGTAAACAGACTCCCCTCCCGCACCGATTTATGTCCTTAAAGAACAACTGAATTGCAATATTAAGGCAAAATGAGTTGGAAAATCTAATTGACTTGACTGTTTTGGCCTAGATTGACTGAAGTTATCAACTCACCGCACAGTGCATAAATCCGTAATCTGATTATACACTAGTCTCTTAAATTCTTGTTTTTAACCATTTGCGAGTTACTGTGCGCACATTAAAAAACAATTAATTGGCTCATGCAAGGTATCAAAAGTTTTTACCCTGCTTATATTCCAATGAAATAGTTAAACTTAACAAGCTCCCATTTCACTGCCAGAAGGAATTGCTACGCCTTTGTGCATGACTGCCTTTCTGGCAGGGAAATGGTTAAAGAGAACACACACTCCAACAGTTTCTAATGCATTTTCCTTCTATGTTTCTCTTGGAAAATTGTTCTTTTAAGTTGTGATTCATTACCAGCATGTCTAAAGATATCCCAACATTGTCCACAGTTATGCCTTCTCAAAGCCAAATCTGTAACTCATCAGTTAAACATTCACACAGTACAGGTGAGAAAAGTATAAACAGACCCAGGGGTTTGTAGTTGTGTTCCAAGCACTAGAACCTTATTACTGGCACTTTATCTACTTCAATATTGCATCACACTTGGTTATCAACAGCTGCTCATCAGAAAAGCTAAATGAATGGTAAAACCTACCTAAAACATGTGGTCACCTCTCCTGTTGTCTTCAGACACGGATATTTAGTCGTGGTTACTTTATTCTCTGAACAAACTTCCCTGAAAATGATTTTTACAAAATTAGAAAAAATAAAATAAAATAGAGTTTAATATATCAATAATGAATAGGTATATTTTTTATAAGTTGTTCTGGGAAAAAAATATCACTTTTTTGGCTGTTTCATAATTTTCACCTCTTAAAATGTATTTTAACTTTTTTATATATGATTGTATAAATTGTGTTACAGTAATGCATTTTTGCTAAACCTTTAAAAGGTATATCCACTTCATTGCAATAAAGAATCATTCATAGTATGTGTGTATATATATATATATATATATATATATATATATATATATATATTAGAAATCAAAGGTGTCATTAAAGGACAATTCCTATTATTCCTGATTGCTAAGAGAAGAGGTCCAACAATTCAATTAAAACCAATTATTAGTCATCCCTAGAAAAAATGGGAGATTAAACAATTCCAGAACTGTCAAAATACATATTTTTAAAGTAAAACCATGAATTATTACTTATGTTGCAATCCTGCACATCCATTAACCCTATAATTTCAGCATCTGATATTAGTGAGACCTATACAATGTCTGAACTACAAAGAGAACATCTGAGACAACGTCCTAATAATGACCATTCCATTGGGTTCTATGGACCTTTAGATCGTGGCCGAGGATTGATCTTTATACATAACCCCAAATGCATCTGTGCCACTAAGGTGTAAGGTGGAACAGGAAGTAACATTGTTTGCTCACAAATGATTATGGCCTGTCACACACTCTGCAGTCCCCTGACAATACTTCAACCAAACCTGCAATTGAGTCTGTGTAGATAGGTAATCCTAGTGACAGGTGAGGGCGTGAGAGTGACCCCACCTGGTGGAAAACCTATATTCTAAAGGTCTTCAAGTAAAAGAAGATCAGTAGATTGGTTGGTTACTGATTTTTTTTTTTTTTTTTTTTAATAAAACCAATAATAAGTATAAATCTTGTATCCCAATACGTTCATCCATTCATCTTTTTACTAGCCTTATAATTTAATCATGTACGATCATTTTGTCATTTAATAGGGTTATGGGCAAAGACAACATCTGGGTAACGTTCTGATCTTGGTGTGAGCATTCCATTGTTTCCATGGTGACTGCTCAGCTTTTAGAACGTTGCCCCAGAAAGTGTGACCTCACCTGGTGGAAAGCTAGAGTTCTTCAGATAACAAGAGCAGCAATGTATCGGTGGGGTAAAGACATGCTCACCTGTCTGCTTCCAACTCCTCTCTGTAAGTCCAAGCCAGTCCCAGGGACAAGAGTATCATGAGGCAGCCCAGGCACAGGCAGACCCTCCGGGCACCTCTCTCACACATTGGCACTGTGCGGCAGCTTCTTACCAATGTCCTTGCCCTGCTGTGTGAAGTCTTCTTCTGGTTTCCCCCCACACTCTGGTCTAGCAGGGTCCTAGCATGCGGTGAGCAGAGGCACAGAGGAAACAGCAGGCTCTGCTCGGGGCTAGGTTTGGGCTACAGGGGGCGCTCGGGAGGCTGTGAATCCAGGACCTGAGCACTTGGTGAGCTTCAGTGAAGTTTGTAGAGTCAGACAGGGAGCTGCACAGCCCGGTGTATAACATTGGAGGCGGGGCACTCAATGCAGATCACAGGCTGCTCCAGAAGGCATGTGAAGGACACTATCAGTCCCACAGAGACTGCACTGCTCCTGCTTCCTCTCCTGGAGCAAGCCTCCTCTTCTCCCAGGATCCCTTATTACAGCTCCTCAACTGGATCTTTTATAGTGAATCTTGCAATGAGCTGCTCCTTTGCTGGACTTTTATTTATTTAGCAATTCATTTTTTTTGTCCTCTCTTGGATTTCTTATTACATCCACTGGAATCCTTCTCTAGCTGTCCTCCTGTACTCTGGTCAGATCTCCCCCTGTATTGTTGGATCCCCCTTTCCAGATGTCCTGTGTAAGTTCTCCTTTATTGTCTGAGTACTTTGTATCCCTTTTACCTATCTCCCAGAGCCTGTCATCTCCTGTCATCCAATATTAATGATCCCTCTCACTGTAAGCAAGTACCACTATCTCTGTGACCTGCTCACTCAGTTAAATCCCCTGTCACTTTGTAAACTCTATATACTATCTCTGTCCTCCTCTTTAATCTCTCCCCTGCCCGCTTCTATCACTCTATTCATAAATCTTGCGATATCTCTGCCCGTCTGCTGCTCTGTATTAGCATTAAAATGTTACTGTCTGGATCCCAATCCTCACCTTAATCCCCTGTACTCTCCCTTTAACTCCAATTCTTCCTGTCCTTTCTAACTCCCGGCTCCCTCTGCAGCCCCCAGTCTTTATCCCCTTTCAAGGTGGGATTGATTCAGTGCTTTCATGTGACATATATTTGGATAGTAAACGTTCTGGGATGTTTTGTCTTTTTTTTTTTAGCTCATTGAGGTCGAGTGATCAGAGAGGGAGGAGTTGTGTTTGGCATGTCATGTACTCCCACCGCTTCTCAGGGGGGTATCCTGAAAGTATTCTATCTTCTCAATAGATCCTAACACAATCTTAAAACAAAGATTCAGTTTAGCCCCCTGAAGGGTCAGGCACAGTTTGGGCTGTTTGATACGGTTACTGTGTTTCCTTAACCATTCTCCAAACGTCAGACAGAAAAAAATAACCTGTATACATATAATTCTTTTTTTTTTTTTTTTTTCATATGCATGAACAGATTTGGGTTTTATTTGATGAGATAACGTGTAAATAAATACAAAAATGCGCAATAAATACAAAAATGTGCAAACCAAAACCATTTATTTCAAACATTTGCCTGTCAGTGCAAGTAAAGAAAACCCACCAGCAATTATTCCTAATTTACAAAATGCAGGACATGCCAGGGGTTTGGATCTGTTTTTGGTACTCCATTGCAACGATTTGGTTCTATATAATTGTATTATCAAAGCATATACTTTTGCTACAAAATATACATGGAAGTCAGTTTGTCCAAAGTGATTCTAAAGTTTGGATGATCATACCTGTCAGCCTGCACATGTCTAATTCCCATCACCAGTTATAATACACCACATAATCCCATTCGTATTCGTGCCACCACATTCTTGGTCACATACCTCACCTCCCAGTCATACATGCAAATTTAACCAGTCACATTAAACATTCCATAATGGATGTCAAATCCCAACGGTCACACTAATCCACCCAGTTATCAAATCATCTGCCACCACTCACCTATTCACATTCTGTCATCGATACACCTGCCTTTGCCAATTTGACCCACCTAGTTACAAACTTCTACCCACTAAGTTACATACTACAATTTAGTCTCACCTCTGTTCACATAAACCCACCGGTTCTATGCTTAGCTATCTCAGTCACATACCATTTCGTAAAGCACCGACAATACATGATGACATACACACATTATGTGTACATGTGCTGTCATTCATATACCAATTCACACACCACCATTTGGGGGATACAGCCCATACACCTGTAAAGAGCCCAGACCCTATATTCGGAATGTATTACAGAATCTCATTATAGTGGATACCCTTTTAAGGAAATAAAAAGCAATGTTGGGCTAAGGTAACATCCCCACAACGTATTTGAAAACCAGAGTAATCTGAATGTGCCTTTCCTGGTTAAATACTTTGTTATAATTATTATTATTATTATTATTATTATTATTACAATTTTGTGTGGAAAATGGCAAAACAACTAATAACCCAGAACTAGCATTTCCATCTGGCATTCAAAAGGTTAACTATATGTGTAACTTAAAACCAAAAAAGTTTCCTCCACACTATACTTATGCACATTTAAAGAACAGGTTTTTAGTACCACTGTAATGTCCATCAAAGTGTAAGCTCATCTGCCACATCGAGGCAAAACTCTTAGGTGAGTCCTCCACTAACAATGCATCTTCCATGAGAGAGGGAAAGAAAAGGAAGGGAAAAAGAGAGAGAAAAGGAAATAAGAAAAAGAGACCCTGACCTCTACCCAATAATAATTAATTCCTATTTTCCAGTGCTGCTTTCATCAAGTTATAAAGTTGTTTGTATATGTGTAAGTTTGTATAAGTCTGTTACTTGGAATAACAAGATACAGTTTTATATCAATAATATTTTAATGTGAATGTCATGTCCTATTTTTGTATAATATAGAAACAAATAAAAAATACTTGAAAAAAAAACAGCTAAAATGCAAAATCTATAATGAGTCATACCGGTTTTATAAACCCCTACACACACACTTCTGTACATAGCATGGACAGCAGCACAGGATCACACATGTGTAATATAAAAGCAGATAATAACATACAGAAAAAGGAGATTATTTTTGTGTATTTACTTATCATAATTCTAAAGAAGTCGACACAAATTTTCTCCAGTATATGTGTAAGTTTGTATAAGTCTGTTACTTGGAATAACAAGATACAGTTTTATATCAATAATATTTTAATGTGAATGTCATGTCCTATTTTTGTATAATATAGAAACAAATAAAAAATACTTGAAAAAAAACAGCTAAAATGCAAAATCTATAATGAGTCATACCGGTTTTATAAACCCCTACACACACACTTCTGTACATAGCATGGACAGCAGCACAGGATCACACATGTGTAATATAAAAGCAGATAATAACATACAGAAAAAGGAGATTATTTTTGTGTATTTACATATCATAATTCTCTGAAGGTCGACACAAATTTTCTCCAGAAAGCATGCAGCCAGAGAAACAGAACATCTTAACAGGAAATTAAGGAGATCAAAAGATATCCACATCTTACTAAATATTTAAAGCCTTTGTCATCAACAAAAGAATTAGGTAAATTGGCGTCCCAGCAATATGATTTTCCACAGAGTTACAGACTAGTGCAGGTACATAAACATACTTGGGCACACAATCACATACATAAACACACAAACAAAATACACACTAGTAGATATACAGAGATGCATACGAGCACACACAGAGACATACTAACATGCAAACTGCATGTCTTAGAACAGGCAGAGGCAACCTTTGGCACTCCAGATGTTTTGTACTACACCTCCCATGATGCTTTGCCAGCATTATGGGAGTAAGAGCACTATGGGGGATGTAGTACACAACATCTGGAGTGCCAAAGTTTGCCTATCCTTGTCTTAGAACCTGATGCCTGTCTCAGGTAAACTATAAGCAGACAGGCTTCGTGTGGGCGCCAGGCAGCTAATTGTAAATTCTCTGCTTGCCATCTATTCCAACATGGCAGTCACACCCACAGGGCCCAGGACTGGTACCCAGCTTATCCTGATCATAGGGCAGATCAGTCTACCAGTCTGAAGAGAATGGTGGGATTTGTGGTCTTAGAAGGGTTTTTAACACCTATATAGTAGAGCTGATTGTAACAAATGTGCTTAGAAGTTGAAAACAAGGCTTTTTAAGGAAAGCTAATTTCTATTAATAGTGACATGTATGAACATCAGTGTTTGCAGTGTTTGAAGTCCACATAAACTTACTGTAGAATGTTTAAATTTTTGAGGTCTGAAGTTGCTTATGCATTTTTTGGTTAAATGTACCATGAAATCATAAAATTGCTTTGCTCTGCACATGAAAATCTCTGCATAATTTCACGTTCTGCACTCATGTTATGTATTCAGTTCTTAATTCAATAGTGTTAGGAATAGCTCAAACTTTGAGGATGCAGGCAGGGAGGTACATACAGCTCATATACATGAAAAAAGGGGAATGCCAAAATGAAACAAATTTAAACACCACAATATCAATGGAAAGTAGTGCAAATTACTTAGCTTCAATTAATGTGCAGCCTCCCGAGATCGTTATCCACAACAAACGACCTTTACAAAGTACAGAAAACCACAAACAGAATCGGGATACGGCTGTATAATCTATAGAGAGAACATATAAAAACAAAATAGTGTAATACAGTATGCACAATAGATCTTGCGCTGTTAATAAATGCACTCACGAGATAGCATAGAAATAAGCGCTCACAAGGTGCCTCCCTTGATGATATGGGGGGCTAGTAATCCTCTTGCCAATGCTAGATAGCCAATGGTACACTGGGCTCCAGTAGATGATGGTCAAAAATTAAATTATTTTATTTGTTTAAAAGGTGAAAAACACCATAAATATAAAAAATAAGAATGCAGCAATTGGTCCAACGCGTTTCATCCAATAGGAACGTCTTCAGGGACCGCAATAGTAATAAAATCAAATACAATATAACAGATTGTAAAATAACACATTCACCAATGCCAAAATGTCTGATAGCAACCTTCGTTACAGGTTCTATTCCCCACAGGATCAGCTTAGTTTTTCCTCATTCCTAACTTAACTTAATGTGTACCATAGAGATGGTTATTAATACAGTATCAAATACTACAGTGCAAATTTAAACAAAATAAAAAAAATAAAAGTATAATTTCTTTTTAAGTGTGTTAAAATGTGCAATACATGTTGTAATACAGTATACAAAGGGCAGGCATATACATTTTCTTCATCCATTACATGTCATTGAAGGTCCAGTGAGCACTACTTATACATGTCTTTGCAACATCATGTTATATGGGCTGCAGGTATTGCTATTGTAACAGTCCTACTGGCACCCATAAATTAATTACTGTAAACCTCCCAGCATGTCAAAAACGAGGGGTCCGTAGGTTTAGTGAAATCAGATACAATTTTTCCTGTGTTACTGAAATGCAATCTGTGTTAAATTCCACTAAAGTCAGTGAATTGTAACATGAAATTGGTCAAATCCTGCTCACTCTTTGGAATAATGAATAATCCTCTTTGTGTTGTTACAATATAATCTGGGAATACATTCCATACCACGGCTGCCAGTAGTGCATCATTTATTTCCATTTTACTGGTTACTGAACCTTACTTAATGTGTGATTTTTACATAAAGTACTAATATACATATCGATTTTTTTCAAATTAAATAGAAGATAAACCAGTATTTACTCAATAAATCTAACATGTTACTATATATGGTGTGGAAACCTCAATGCAGGAGAATCATTTTTGTACTTGGATTCCTTTCTTTATAGATTGAAACTGAGTATCTTCTTACTACTAGTTTGTGTTCAATGAATAGGTGCAGGGTCAGATTTCCCATTAGGCAGTCTAGGTGTTTGCATTCAGATTCCTGTCCTGTAGGGGGCGCATGTTTTCAGCATTTGGGTTGCTGAAGCTTTGGTGGGCTAGTGAGAAGAGCCGGTGTCATCTATAGTCCTGTCTGCCTTCTATGCTTGAGCTGCAGGAACAGTTATAGAGAGTGTAAAATTCAGCACTAAGTGATTCACATTGTATAACTGTTCCTGCAGTATGACTATCAATCATAGGAGAGTGAGTTCTTGGTTAATAACCATGCAAACTCAACATGATTGTACCTTAAACATCCTTTTTTCCTTAACCCTACATTTAAATGGATACTATAGGCACCCAGACCACTTCATATCAGGTTCTCTATTGTGATGATGTTGGAGGAGGCAGAGATGGAGCCAGCACCAAGGGACCTCGGTGTGGGAATAAGGTATGTGAGGGACACTATAGTGTTTTTTTTAATTCTTCCCAAAACCTAAACAAACTATTAGCACCTAATGTTAGCACTCAAAATCTAAACTGGAAACAAAACCATTTAACTTAATACTATATTTAACTTTTGTTAAAAATTAAACACACCATGTACCCCAATACTAAATGTAACTCAACTCTCACCCTAAAGCCAATGATTCTAAACACCCCTTACACAAATATTAGTCAACTCAAATGTGTAATCTTCTTAGCACTAAACACCCTATGTAATCTAACTCTGACATTAACCCCTCTTTAACCTTAAACCCCAATTTACCATAACCCTAACCACTTCTAACACTCTCTTTAGCCCTGTATGCATTTAGATAACCGCATGCACTCACTATACTCACAGATTCAAACACAATGCATTATAATTAAAATATGGCAGAAATTGTGAAGTATTGGCATTGATTTGGAAATATGACTGATCATGCAAAAAAAAAATTAAAAAATATCTTTTATTGAAGTATGGTGATCATATGTAGCCATTTATTATCACATAGTTGTTTGGCTCCTTTTTAAATCATAATGATAACAAAAATTACCCAAATGGCCCTGATCAAACATTTACATACATTTCAATCTTTGGCCTTGTTACAGACACACAATGTGACACACAGAGGATAAAATGGCAATTAAAGGTTAATTTCCCACACCAGTGGCTTTTTACATTGCAATTAGTGTCTGCGTATAAATAGTCTATGAGTTTGTTAGCTCTCACATGGATGCACTGAGAAGGTTAGATACTGAACCACAGGGAGCAGAAAAGAACTGTCAAAAGACATGCGTAACAAGGTAATGGAACTTTATAAAGATGAAAAAGGATATAAAAAGACGTCCAAAGACATGAACTTGCTAGTCAATACTGTTCAATCACGTATTAAGAAGTGGGAAATTCGGGGATCTCTTGATATCAAGCCAAGGTGAGGTAGACCAAGAAATATTTCAGCCACACCTGCCACAAGAATTGTTCGGGATACAAAGAAAAACCCAGAAAAACATGGTGTGGTTGTTTCAACAAGTACAATACGACGATACTTGAACCAAAATTATCTGCATTGTCAAGTTGCCAGAAAGACATCTTTACTGCGCCAATGCCATAAAAAAACCCGGTTACAATATGCCCGACAACACCTTGACATGCCTACCCCTAACCTTACCCCTAACTCTACCCCTAACCCTACCCCTAACCCTAAATGTGTATGTGGTTGTGGTTAGGGGTAGGGTTAGGGTTAGGGGTCGCTGGGTGGGTAAGGTTATCTTTATTTATATCCGCTCCTTGTTTATCTCTGTTTTTCTTGCAGGAAGACTCTGTTGATATTTAGAACGGTACCATCCACATTCATGTTTCATCCACTCTACGCGTAGGAATTACCCATATTTCCTGCACCTTCAAACTCATGAACTGGAAGTGACCTCTAGTTTAGCTGTTTTTGACATACCTGTATGTAACGGACCGTTTTGCACAAAAACCCGCTTAGACGATAATCCCCTTTCAGAGACAGGCACAGCTACTGTAGAATCACCCAAAACTCACGAATTGAATACAAG